GGGCATTGACTTTCAGTCATGGCTTGTTCTCCACGTACTACAGAATTTCCCTGAATAAACACATTTGAGTGGAATCAGTCATTCCTTGAAACATAGTCTCAACCATTACAAATCACAAAACCTACATCCTTGCGCTACTGTGTTTCAGCCATTGTCAAATGTAGCATTATAACTTGTGTATAAGGATTTGCTCCTTCTCAGGGTGCCTAGAACACCTGCTGTGATAGAAATGACCAGGGCCAAGTGAATCATTTGATTTTTGTTACCCAGGCCATTTCATTTACCAAGGTGGTGCCCTTTTCCATCTGACCTAGAAAGGAGCTATTTCTGCCTTGCTGCAAACGTGTGAAAATGGACAGTGAGAATTCTTGATTGAGAGGAATGGGAACTCCATCAGTCTAGCTCACAAAAGGGGGAAGGTGGTATTAAGAAATTTCATGGGAATCCAGAAAAAACTGAACAATCAGTAATCAGAAAGCTTAGGTACCGAATGAAACATATACCCACTCATCTGTCCCCACCATCCACACCTCAGCTTTTGGAAAGACCTGCTGTATTTTTTAAAGATTGGGAACATTCTCAAAGTCAACCTGCTCCTGGTCGCAGGCAGACCCTACTCAGTCTCACCATGGTCCAACCTTCAAGTCAGATGCCAAATTGCCAAGATGTGTTTTTCAACATGATAGAAAGATCACAACAATTCTTAAACACTTCCCCCAGACCATGTTGTTTTATACACACACACACACACACACACACACACACCCATCACGGGGCTCAAACTCACCACCCCAAGATCAAGAATCGCATGCTCCATGCACTGAGCCCACTAGGCATCCTTCTGTTGTCATGTTTTTATGGCAAGAATGTTAATATAAAATAGCATTTCTTTGGCAGAAAATAGATTCAATCTCCTTATCTTATAAGAAAAGTAATGAAGGCAGAGAGTGTAAATCATTCTTCTTCTTGACTGGAAAGGGAAAAAGACTGGTTTTCAGGGGATACTATATTTTATTCTCTAGGCACCTGAGCACAGTGATCTCAACATATTGGGAGAAACACAGTTGCAAGATGTTAGCAAATTGAGGTTGATCCTCTCACCATGAGGGAGCCATCTCATATTTCAACTAAAGAGCGTGTGTTTTTTATTCTGCTGGACTCAAGCTAAAAATTCTTTTCTAAGTATTAGTTGCTTATTTTGCTCACACAAATCTTGCCTCCCCAATGACTGTAGAATAAATGATTTTCTTATTCAGATACTTTCACTTGAACTGTGCATATAATTACTTCTTTTTCTTGTTCTCAAAGTAATAGATATGTATGTAAAGACAAGTTTTAAAAATTCTAAATACCCACTCATAAACCCCATAATTCTTCCTCCCAGATATAGACACAGAATATGTTGTAAATATATATCTGCAACAATGAATCTCATCACACATTCTCCCAACGATATGTTATTCGTATCTTTCCATAGCATCTTTCAAATGACAGCATTACCTCAAAGTTCAGGGTGCTATTCTATTGGATGAATGTAAAATAAGCTATTGCATAATATTCTATTGTGAACAATTAAGTCTTCACTTTTTTTCTCTATAAAAATAAACACCTGGATTTGTGTGTCTTACATATTTTACCCATTCTTACCTTCTAGATAGCTGTATCTTTGGGCACTTCTGCAAATATTTTTATAACTAGTTCATTTGAAACAAATCACACTATCAAGAATTGTATACACATTACATACATTGCATATATATAATAGAAATTTGACTATATTCATAAATTTAACCTACCAAGATTGTATAAAGGTTTCCATCTTCCAGCTTTTTTTTCTTTTTTTTCTTTTTTAGAAAATTCATGTCACTACTTTGTTAATTTTTTGCCAAAATAATAGGAGAAAAGTAAAATCTTGCAAAATTGTTTTATGGAAGGAAGGATAGTAGTGAGTTTGGTTTTTTAAATGTTTTTTAGTTAATTTCCTTCTCTTTTTCTGAAAATTGCCTGTTCACAAATTTGCTCAATTCTGTTTTGCTGTGAAGGGTATTTTAAGGGGTAAATAACAGATATCAACTTTTTGCTTTTTGACATAGGACCATTTGTTTCCAGATAATTGTCTAGTTTGCATTTTTACATCATTCATTTTGCATACAGAATAAATAAAATATCCAGGTTTTTCTTCACACTTTCATTTCTAATTGCCATGCCTGGAAATGCCTTCCTCAGCAGAACACTACAAAGGAGTCACCCATATTTTCTTTTTGTACTGTTGCAGTTTTGTTTACTCCATGTAATTAAAAAAAATCTATCTACAATTTGCTTTGTTGTGTGGAGTGAGATAGGAAACCAATTTTCATGAGAATAATCCATCTTTTCATGACAGATTTGGAGTGCTAGCTTTACGAGATCCTCCTATTTATCTGTTACTATATTCTTGTTTTTGTGATCTGTCTCTTCTAGCATATGTTTATTATTGCATCAATTTTATGGTCCTATATGTTCCAATGCCCCATAATTTCTATTTTCAGGGTGTTTCTGGCTGTTCTTTCACTCCAGATGAATTTTAAAAGTCAATAAAAAGAATTTGGCTGGGGTTCTTTGAATTTTTGCAAATTAATTTAGGGAAAACCAACATTTCTACAATACTGAGCTATTTCAGTGACAATTCATGCCTCGTTTCTGAGGCACTACAATTTTCTTTAGCCTTTTGGCTTTCTTTATGTTCTTCTTTCATAACACTTGGTTGAGTTTACTCCTGGGAGCATAATTATTTTGTTTGCTACTGTGAATGTAATATTTCATACCTGCTATTTTTTGAGTGTCATTTGGGGATAGAAACATTTTCATATAAATATCTTCCACAAATGAATTCTTGAGTTTTTTTTTTTCCCTAATTCCTTGTCAAACTCTTTGAAAAGTTTTTTAGTTACTAGCCCTTTCACGGGATTGTGTAAACATTTTGGTGATAACAGAATACTTCTCTATTTCCATCATGCTTAGAAAGACTACTGTTGTCTCACTGTCTAGCATGAGGGTGTAATTTGCCTTGTGTCACCTCCCAGATTCAGAAAGTACTAAGCTCTTCTGACTTAACTAAGGAATTCTGTTGCATGCTAACCTTTTTCAGACGTCTATCTGCGTGCAGATATCTATGTGCAGCAGCAAGAGAACCTTACTGGTTTGACTTTGTCATTATGACCAATGTCATCATGTTTACTAATGTTAACCTGGATAGAGTCTCAGATTTCCGGAATGGAACACTGTCATGATACGCTCTTTTAAAAAAAGTAGACTCATGCATGCATGCATTCAGTCAACCTATATTTGTCTGCTCCATACCAATACATGCAGTATAATGCAATGTAATGCAATTCCAGAGTGTGCAACGACTAAACAAAGTAATGCAATGGGAGTGGGGTGATGTGTGACCACTGCAAACATAGTACCTAAGGCCCCATCTCTCTGAGGAGCTGATGATTTCAGTGAATGAATGATGAGAAGGATCCTATTTTGAGCTAGCACAAGCACTCTGAGTTGTGAATGGGTTTGGCCTTTTCAGTGAGCAAAAGGAACACGGGTTTGGTGTTAGGTTATTGACCAGTGCTGGATTTATTATCAAACCAGTGAATCTTTGCAAGGCACTGCACCTAAATTCAGATTTTGTTACTTTATGTTCTTATTACAAATGGTTCTTTAAGCCTCAGATATAAAAAACCTGTATCTGCCTCTGCTGATGGAGAGTAGTGATAAAGATGAGGTCTGATTACCTGTCAGCCAGATGACACTGAGGAGTCATGACTTTCCTTCAAGGATAATGGAAGTTTGATAAAGAAGGGAGTGGCTTGACTATATATTATTATTATTAATATATAAATATTAAACATATATTTTAAATTAAATATACAGAGATTTTTACTATATATACGCACATAGATTTGATAGACTTCATTTTTTAGAGCAGTTTTAGGTTCACAGAAAAATTGAGGGAGGCAGGTTAAGAGATTCCTCTACAACCCCATGCTCCACTGTCAATGTCCCCACCAGAGTGGGACATTTGTTACAACTGATGAACATGCACTGACACATCATAACCACCCAGAGTCCACTGTTTGCATAAGTGTTCCCTCTTAGTGTTGCACCTTCTATGGGTTTAGACGAATGTATAATGGTGTGTATTCATCATTCTAGTATCACACAGAGTCATTTCACTGCCCAAATAGTGCTCTGTGCTCCACCTATTCATCCCTCCCTCCTCCTGATTTATATTTTAAAAATATCATTCTGGCTGTTGGTCAGATAATTTATTATATGAAGGGGACACTGGAAGAAGGAAACATGTTTCTGTGAGCCGATACTTTGTTTTGCTCCTTGCATTACTATTTAAAAGATACAATTAATATGATTTCTGTCAGATTTGGCACTTAAAATACTTCTAAAAGAGGGAATTTTAAGCACTTTCTCCAAAATGAGACTATGTTTGTGTAAGATCTTTGGCATCACAGGATTCAAGAGAATATTTCCAATCTCCTTTCTATTATTTACCTTCGGTGGACCTAAAGTAACTAGACAGTGGTTACTGTTCATGTCACCTCTCAGCAGGCAGACGTTCCAAGCTAGAGGTAGGCCACATTCCCCAGAGAAAGCAGTCTTCCACTGATGGGTTTGAATGTGATGGAGAGTTATGTTGGGGCCTGACTATACCCTTCCTTTCCCAGGTGTGGGCTATTTTATGTGTTTCCATGATATCTGTGTGTATTTCCAGTAGTATAATACCATACATGGACACATATATGCATACATGAATGCACATACACATACATCCCTAGACACACACACATACACAAACACACAGAGTCAATTCTTATTATCTGTGGCAGTGATGTTGTCTAAATCACCATGCATACTGAATTTGCAAATCATGAACCATTGCTCCTAAGGGAAATGCAGGGCAGGGTGCCTGCAAGCCTCTGGTCATTTTCATCAACTGATCAATACATTACCTTGTTTTATGTGTCTTTCCACTTAAAGATTCCTTATTTAGGGGCACCTGGCTGGCTCAGTAGGTGGAGCCTCTGGCTCTTGATCCCAGGATCATGAGTTTGAGCCCCATGTTGGGTGTAGAGATTACTTAAAGAAAAGAAAAAAAGAAACGAAACAGTTAAAAAATGACAGATTCCTTATTTAATATCTATTGTTGATTCATCCACACTGAATGCACATCCATCAACACTGGATGGTAATCAACACTGGACAGGTAATCAGCAGTTCATGGCTGAACTAAACTTATCTCACACCTATTTTCTCAGAGGGCACACACGGCCGCCTTACACTCAGGAACACTGGACAGCACGTCAGCACTATGTTCAGGGGTCACTGTAAGCTCTGCAATCACCAACCAAAAACACAAACCCGAGAACATTAGACCTCATAAAGGACACCTGTTTACAGTACAAGAGTTGAAAGAGGAAGGCAAAGCACAGACTTGTTCCAACTCAGCTGGGAATGTGGGTGTCTATCGATGAGAAATTTTTACCACTTGGCATGTCCATGTATGACTATGAAAGTATTGGTTTGGGGGTTACAAATAAACGTTAGCAAGTAAGCAGACGTGCACACATGGACTCCATAACGAGGACACACTGTGTGTATCTTCTGCAATATCCTGTGAGATTTCTGAGGGCAGGATGCAGACAATACCCGTCCTTCCTTGTTCCAATAAAAAGACCATCATGCCTTACCGTGGCTACTCCACAGACTAACCTGTTCTCACACATTCGTAAATTACAGAGTTCTTTCTTTAAAAAACTTTGAAACCTGAATTGACAAAAGCGATAAAAGTGGGTTATCTCTGCTTGATTTCTGTCCTTCTCCTTGCCCTTTGGGATGGTACCATGAATTGTACGAGAACTTATTGCACGAGCAAGCAGCAACACTATAGAAATGATGTTTTTCAGATTCGATTCTAGAATCTTGGCTCGGTGTGTTCTTCTTTACCCAAAACTGACTAACTCCCCAGGTGCTCTTGCAGTAAAGGACAATGATATTTCCTCTCCCGGATAAAGAGTGATAAAACACCACATACAATTCCCAGCTATGTGCCATTCTGGAGCTGTTTGTAGTGTGAAAATGTCTAACACAGAACAGCTGGTACCAAAATGAAGACTTCACCACCAACTGTAAATTGTACAGTCGGTATTTCAAATGCTCCTTTTCCCATCAAGAATTATTGGGTAGAATGGCCTCCTGGAAGTAATTAATCTCTGCTCAATGTGCAGCCCTGTTAGGGAGACGTGAGCCCCCAAGATCGGTGGAGACACGTGATTTAAAGGGGGCTGCACAAAAATCGGCCACAAACATAACCATCTTGGTAGGAGGTCTTCTGGAGCATTTTCAACACATTTTTGTGTTATAACTCACCCTGCGTGAAGTTATAGAAGGACTGTGCTTACATAACCTGAGGTTTGATGATACAAAATGAAGCAAAATTAGACCTTAATCTGTGTCAACACCGAGTCAGTGAAGTTCTCAACATACTCTATCCCGGGTCTGGCAGGCGATCAGGGCGATGCAGCCAACAGAGCACACGTGTCTACCAGCTCTGCTTCTTGCTGCCTATGAAGACTGTGCTGGAAACTGTTCCCAGACATCCCAGGGCTCCAGAAACTGATGGTGGCCACATGTTCCTTTCCAGAGCCAACGTTCTGGAAGATGTGCCGACAAAGACAACGTGACTCCAAGAGAGCTGGTCACTGAATGTGCTCATTCTCCCATCCCCTATAAGCCCACGTGAGGAAGCGTCTGGGGCTTCCTGGCCTGAAAACTTGAGGGCTCCAGGGTATTAATGAGATGTTCCTAAGGGAACTGTTCAGAATGAAGGAACCGATGGGGGGAGGCCGGGAGAGCTGGATGGTCCAGTGACCCGAAAGAGGCAGGGCTGTGCTCCATCCCATTACTGACGGGTTCAGAGCAGAATGCCCATTGGGAGCAGGGAGGCTGGTGGGCATCTGCGTCCTGGGAGAGGAGCCAGCTGGATGGATTACTGCAGATCCATAGGGTACCTACAGCAAGACCCATTCCAAATCCCAAGTGTGGGCAGCGCTGGGCTTCCACAATGCCAGCAGCCATAACCAGGACTGGCTCTGGCCTCAGGCAGGGCTGAATTCTCCCCTGTGCCGGAGTTGGACAGGACGGGAAGCTGCTCAGGACAGAGGACACAGAAGTCAACTGTGCCTCTGGTTTGGTCTCTCATGGGACTTGCCTTTCTTTCTGTTTCAGGGGAAATAAACTGGCTTCCTGCAAGAGTACTCTAGATAGACAGTTGCTCTAGGACTCAAAAGAAATGCTATTTGAACCAGAACAATTCTGGCACTCACACAGTCACCTAAGGCTACTGTGTTTTTGACATTATTACAGCATATTTGGACAGAGACACAATCTTGCTAAGAATAAATACCAATGAGATGCTTGCCTTTCTGGTTTTGCCCATTCTGTATGCATGATCATTTTACTGTTAGTTGGCAGTAAGATTCTAGCAGAGCGAAAAATCCTTACGTTACACTAAAAATGTCAGTCCAAAACCAAGAAAATTAGGACCTTGCTTAGTCTTCATTCTCTAGTCTTAAGCAATTCCTTGTGGCTGAAAAGCATGTAAGAGATTAACATATCAGTTCTTTGTTTTTTGCTTTCAAATTCCACTAAGCTTAACATTTATGTGGCTATATGGATCAAAACCAGAATTTTAAATTTTGTTTTTAGGAATTTTGGTTTTTATCATTCAAATTTGTTTTTATTTCTTTTTTTTTTTTTTTAAAGATTTTATTTATTTATTAGAGAGAGAGAGAATGAGAGACAGAGAGCATGAGAGGGAGGAGGGTCAGAGGGAGAAGCAGACTCCCCGCCGAGCAGGGAGCCTGATGCGGGACTCGATCCCAGGACTCCAGGATCATGACCTGAGCCGAAGGCAGTCGCTTAACCAACTGAGCCACCCAGGCGCCCTGTTTTTATTTCTGAGGTAGACCTAAAACTCCTTTCCCCGAAGTATCCTAGCCATCTAACATTTGAACCAGTGCCTAAATCTTCAGTGGTTCACTTTGTTTTCTCAAATGCTCTATCTTGTGAATGATAGGGTTAACTGAAAAGATTTTTTTTCCCTATTTTGTTTTGCTTTCTGTAAATCTCAAAGGTTAGATTCCTGCTAATTTTGCCACAAAAGCATGTTGTGCTAATAAATCTCTAGGTATATCTGTCTTTGTTCTTGTCAGGGGAAAACAAAAACCAGCTATGACACATTTTTCAGCCTTTTTTCTAAAATGTGTTTCTAGAGGTCAGAGTCATATGGAATTGTGATGTTCTTGCATGGTACACATTTTCCGGTGCTATTTTAACAGCACAGATTTAAATAACATAAAACAAGAGCTATATTTTGGTTAATTGACTTTGAGTAAACAGTAATTTACTTCAATCAAATGATAAACGCACATGTATAAATTACATCCACACAGAAGAAAGCTGAATAAAAATCCCCGAAATGTAAGTCAAAGATACTGCAATTTAATAAACCACCTTAAAGTTTTTTAAGTCAATCAGCAGAGAAAATATGATATGGTGGGCACTGAGATCTTAGTCCCAGGGGTGACTAAGCACAGCACCACAGAGCTACATTTTCTTCAAGGGTGTTTGAGGAACTGCCTTAGGTGACTTTGTCTTGACATAGAAATCTTCACTTGACTCTATCTGATCTCCATTTAACGTTACTCCCATAGAACATGATTCATTGATTCCCAGAAGCATGCCCCACGAGTTACTCCATCTTGTCGGGTAATGGATACATAATTCACATTTTAAAAATCATTTTCTTAACCTCTGATTTACCAAGACGTTACATATTCCATGATGCAGAAAATAGGATGTTTGTTTGGATTTTTGGTGTTACTCACTCTCTTCTCCCCAGTGTTTCATCCTTGGCACACAGTAACTGCTTAACAAATACTCATGGTAAAACGGGTGAATGAATAGTGAATTAATGAATACTCACGGTTTAAAACAGCTGTTCCGTTTTCATGCTGAGGAAAAAACGTAAGTGACATTTTCCCAGGCAATCGATCACACAGTTTTTAAATCCCTTTCTATATGGCTATCTTTGGGCTGTTACTTTAAGGAGCCAATAATCCTCAACATTTTGCTTCTCACAAATGGATGTTCATACAACTTTTTTTTGATGAACGTCTTCCTGTGTTACTTATCATTTGAAACACCAAAAGAGAGGGACCAAATCGCTTTTGTCGCAGATCACCGATTTTGTCCTGGCCTTGAAACTCTCCTGGTCTGTACCTGGGGAGATGATTCATGTAATATAGATTGAGTCTCACTCCCCCCAACTGTGTTTATCTTGACTCTCCATGCTGTCTGTCTCACAGTGTGTCTACGCCTGTCAGAGCGGTAACGGGATAACATATAGGAACAGTTTTTCAAAACCCCATATATAACTGCTATTGCCACCGGCCCCCTCCCCATTCATGTGTTGAAAGTGTAAGCCCTAGTGTCAGAGATGCGGTCCCCTGGGGGTGATTACATCAAATTGAATTGATGACGGGGGTCGCACCCTCGTCAGTGGGATTAGCGCCCTTCTCAAGGAGACCCCAGAGAGCTCCCTCATACCCTCCTCCATGTGAGGACACAGCAGGAAGGCACCTATCCTTGACCCAGGGAGCCGGCCTTCACCAGATACTGAATGTGCCCATGCCCGTTACCTGGGACGTTTGGTCTCCAGCACTGTGGGAAAGAAAAGAAATGTCTGTTGTTTATAAGCCCCCAGTCTGTGGTGTTCTGCGGTCGCTGCCCGAACAGACTAAGGCAGTAACACACTATCATCATTCAGAATGGCCAGTGCAGAGTAAGACCAATAACCTCCTGAAATGCACAATACTGTGGGGCTGAGGGAGAAAATGAAAACAGACAGAAGATGACTCATTCCTACCTCGCTCATTAATCAAGCTATTGTATCTAAAAAAGTTTTTCTCGCTGACAGCATTCTGTAATTTTAAGGTGAGATGACCATACAAAAAACCCCCACAAAACAAAAACAAATCACCAGGCAATTCTTTACAACTACCTTCCTGAGCAATAATTTAAAATGTCAAGTGGTAATTTAGCCCCAGTGTCTAAAAGAACTGGAATTATCAGCTCTCTGTGGTCAACGGCCATTTCAGCCATTCTAGTGCCTGAGTTGATTCAATCATTTACTTTTTTGGATATTCATGTTTAAAGGTCAGAATTTTCACGATTACTGTTAGAAAGCTTCTTTCTCTGGGTTTATACAAAGTCCCGACTCTGGTTTGCAACTGTGAGAACCTGGTTTCTATTAATCTTCCTTCTTTTTATTCCTCATTAACTCATACTCAAAGAGAGGATATGACAGGCTCACCCACACTCTATTAAACGTTTCCTTGTGTTCAGTGCGAGGGATGTGGCCAAAAAGCTGAGAATTAAGCCTGCAGTAAGAAATCCACAATTACAGAGGATGTGACCTTTGCAGATGCGCTCATGTCAGTTAGAAACATAGGGCTTACCCATGTTTCAGCAAGGTGGCGGAGATAAAATTAGAGCTGGCTTCTTCTTATGATCATCGTCTTGGCTTCTGATAATCATTGCTCTTCTGTTTTATCTGTTTTGCTGGTCACCAGAAATAATATATATAGATGAGATCATATATCACCATATATATATATCTTGATTATACATACCTAATATTATATAATATAGAATATATATAAATATACCATATAATGCATATGTAAATAAAATCATATATATTTGCCTACAATCCACTTAAACATTTGGTGTCTAACGTTACTTATACAAGAATACAAATACTGCCCAAATCTTGTTTTTTGTATACTTGGCTCTTGATTGTAATATTTTATTTTATTTTTTTTAAGTTTATGCATTTTTTTAGTGATGTCTATATCCAATGTGGGGCTCACGTTCACGACCCTGAGATCAAGTCACATGCTCTTCCAACTGAGCCAGCCAGGCACCCCTTCACTGTAATATTTTACAGCAACAAACAAAACCATATTCAAATGAAATCATGGTGTCCACAGTCCCTTGGAGTTCTCTGGCACTTGCTAGCAATCCACTTGCCAGAGTCTAACACAGAAATGTTTCTGTGAGACAAAAACATGAGTGTTTAGTGTTTATTAGTAACTAAAACAATGTGGGGCATTTGCTATAAATCTACAAAATAATATATTGTTTATGATGAATATTTACTCAAGCCCATAGCTAATCTTACATGAGTCATCTTGTGAGGTGGCAAAATATGCAAGATAAGATAATGTTTGTGAGCCCGCGTTTACTTTACATGAGAGCACTACTTACATCTAAATGCTGAAAAAATAAAATTTTTAAACAGAATAATTACAATAAAAGTATCCTTAGATTTTAGTGTCATAGCAGAGTCAAATATTGGCCATATTGGATTTGCTAAGGTCACATGTTATTGTCAAATATTCTGTGAAAAGAGAAAAATTCAGCGTATTTCCTGAAATTGTGGGGTTTAGAAGGGGAGTTGTCACTCTGTGATAAGAATGAATGCTTTATATTCCAAAGCAGATAAGGTTTAGGGTTTTTCACTGTTCACGGATAAATCATGAATCTATAAACTGGGAGCACTACTGAAGATAATCTCAGGGGTGTCTGGGTGGCTCAGTCGTTTAGCGTCTGCCTTCGGCTCAGGCCATGATCCCAGGGTCCTGGGATCCAGCCCCACATCTGGCTCCTTGCTCAACTGGGGAACCTGCTTTTCCCTTTCCCTGCACCCCTCCCCCACTCATACTCTCTCTCTCTCTCTCTCTCAAATAAATAAAATCTTAAAGAAAAAAATATAATCTTATTCGATTTTTTAATTTTCAGGATCTGAGATCCCTGAAATTTAATTGAGTCTCAACATGTAAACCTAATCCCCAGCAAATGGATGTCAAAGGGAACTCAGAGAAGCTTCCAGATCACCTTAGCCATGTGCTATTATTAGCTATGCCTTTGAAATGCTCCCAAGCTGCCCATTTGCAAAGCCTTCGAGTTCACTCTATTCCAACTGTCCTTTGCTATACTTGAAGTCTGCACAGGAATCCCAGGAACTTCAAGCATGTTGCAAATATTAATGACACGTAAGCATGTGGAGCATGTAAAGGGCGTAACTTGAAGAAGATAAATATTAGCTCCACTTGACCATGATGTCAAATAAGGTAGACGCTGCCCAAACTCATACCAGGCCTGTGGAAATGGAAGACGGTCCACAGATTCCTTCAGTGACTAGAACCACTCCATTCCTGGCTTCCCTCATGAACTTGTTGAAGGCATTCCCTCCTTGTTGAAGGAGTTAACGACAAACTCTACAGGTATAACTGTATCCAGAGCTACTGTGACCATAAAACGCTACTGAGAACTGAGATGTCAAAGAACCATTCAGATGATAGATCGATTCTAAGTTATGCTGTGCCCAAGTAACATACAGTCGTTCACAAATGAGGAACAGGGACCTACCCGTCATTGGGTTGACGTGCTGGTTGAGAAATGAATAGGATGCAGAAAGTCTCACGTTGGCTTAGTTTGCTTGAGTAAGGGGCCCAATGAAGCAAACTACAAAACCTAAATAAGAAAAACAAAATAAATGTATATGAATACGTACTAGGACAAGGTCTATCTGTGTTAGGCATTATGAACCATAAAGAATAAACCCATGGGGGTGCCTGGGGAGGCTCGGTTGGTTAAGCATCTGCCTTCGGCTGAGGTCATGATCCCAGGGTCCTGGGATTGAGTCCCACATCGGGCTCCCTGCTCAACGGGGACTCTGCTTCTCACTCTCTCTCTGCCCCTCCTCCCCTGCTCGTGCTCTCTCTCTCTCAAATAAATAAAATCTTTAAGAAGAAAAAGAATAAGCCATGGCTGTTGTCCTTCAGGGGCCTGCATCTAAGTAAGAATGATGGGCCTCAGATGACCAAAGAGGTTTTAAATAACAAGCTGGAAATGACCCACAGAACAGACAGATTTTAATCAGTCTGTATGGGGCTCAGGGTCAAGGGACAAGGAATATAGAGTGACTAAGCTTCAGTTTTCTGAAGATTAGATTAGTTTGGATATATGAAGACACTGGCCCAGCTGATCTTCATTCATCAGAATAGCAACTGGAACCCAGTTCCCTGTCAAGAATAGCCTAGAAACTCGAGGAACACCCATGGAACCCAGGAACACCTCCCTCCCCAGAACTGAATTTACCATAAAGCCAAAAGGGGGAAGGAATCCCCTGCTCAACTGAGTCAAACGTTTCTTCTCTTGATTCTCATTTCTGTCCTTCAATCTGCATTTCTCTAGGTCAGTTGGGAACAGGAAACCCCTCCCTCCCTAGAGGAATGCCTCCCACTACACCATGCAGGGGGAACCTTTGCTTCTGGTCCCAAAGGATGGATTTCATCACACCACCAGAATTGGCTCTCTATTTATTCACATTTATTCATTCACTCACTGAGTATCTACCAGATATTTGAGAGAAAAGCTCATTTCCAACACAGAATTCTATAAATACAATGCTGAATAACACAGGTGGGGCTCCTACCCTTAGGGATTTTGGCACGGCCTCTGCAGGCTTTCCAAAGTGTAAGGTGTGGGTTCTACAGTCTTAAACCATTGCATATGGCGCAGCCCAGACCTTTATGCTCTTGCACATCTTTCTCAAGTCTTCACGTCTGGAAATAACTGTTTACACTGGGACACACACAGCTGGACTAAGACCATGAAACACTTGGTAACTGAACATCTTTAATCACCATGTATTTTATAATCATATTGAGGACAGTAACATCCTTCTCAAAAAAAAAAAAAATTGTACATTCCATCGCTGTGACTCAACAACTGTCTGTGTCACAATGAATCTTATCTCCCAGGCCTCCCTGCCTCCAGAGAAGGGGTTTGCTAGGAAATATTCCCACAACTGCTTTAGAGAAAGGGCAAGATTGTCCAATGAGGGCATAGCTGGGAAGTGTTTTTCTGCCCTGAGATGAGCCTGGCACCATGATGGTAAGGGGGTGACCCAGGATTCAAAGAGGAGGCTGTTATTCTGTGTGGTAAGGAATCCATGGGTTTTGGGTGTGGTATGGGAGTGGGGCTGGTCATGTGGAGTATGTGGAAGGAGATGATCATGCTCCAGAGACTTGACCAGGCTGACGGAACAGTCCCTTCACGGGGAGAAGCACTAGGAGGGGAGAGTACACAACAAGCTTGACCAAACTATATAAGTCTTGAAAGGCAGACTATCTTTATCTACTTTTCACGTCTCCCGCAGCATTTTGCAAAGTCTTGAATCTCAAATGCAAGGGTGTGAATTTCTTCTGGAGATCCTGAGGAGGCATTAAAGACCATTCAGAAGTCATCAAAGCATCACCACGGGAGGGAAGTGCCTGCGTGCTGTAAGCTGTGGGGTTTCCAGAACCACCCTGACAGGCCGTGGCCTTGCGTTCCATCCCCCAGCCTGTGTCTCCGTTTACTAACCTTTCCCCGTCATGTTTCCTTCCGACACATAGCAAATCAAGGGCATCAGTCTGCTGCAACTTCTTAAGCTTTTGAAAGAAATCCTGAGCCATGTCTTTCAGACCCAGAGCAAGGACATTCTGACTGCTGCTTTACTAGAAGGGCATTTTTTACCCTGGTGAAATGAGGTAAACAAAAAATGTCAGGTTGACATTGATTTCCAGGTATAAAGTAGGACAAAATCGTGGTGACTATAGGTGTCCACACAATAAAATATTCACTGATGATTTTTCTTTATTTGCCACTTGCGTTATGTAAGAATGTGGTAGCTCTCTTTCATAAATCCTTTTTTTCATATTTCTCTCCAAGGAGACCCCAGTTAGGAATCAAGTGAAATGTGGAAGTTCCAGAGAGAGAATCTCCCTCCAAACCTGACCGTGTTTTGTGGAGAGATTGGACTGAAGTGAATGAAGTGAAGGGCATTCTAGAGTTGCTGAGTACCAAAGTCCGGTATAAGTGATCTTCTCTAAGTGTGTGTGTAAGACTGAATATTTTCACCCGCCCACCCACAGACATGCTTATAAAGATACATAATGAGACAAGGTGTCTTATTTTATTTATTTGAATCCACATGCTTTGGGGTAAGGCTCAATTCATCAAGAGCTCCAGTGAAGACAGACAGCAAATGCATGTCTCTGCTATTCATTTTCCCCACATTTTTACAGAAACCACCACCTCCACCTCTGGTAGGGAGGGAAACTAATAATTTTGTTTTAAATATTCTAGGAAAATATATGCAGAAAGTTTTACTAGGTTCTATTAGTTATTCCAACTCCTGCGTACCGAAGAGCCTTTTCAAAAGTAGCCGAGACCTCGTGCTTGAGGTCTTGCGGGTGAGATCTTGGGGTGGGGGTGTATTGGGAAGAGAGGTTTGCGCAGTACCTCCCAGTGCTGGGGCTCAGGCTGGGCAGGCCGAGGACGGCCTTCCTAGCTGTACGTTTACGATTACTTCAAGTCTGTACAGGCTCAGGACCTGTTAATGACTGAGTACATGGGGCAGAAGCTGAAATCGGTGCTACATATCGCTTACAAAACAAAGATAGAGCTTTTGAATTGCAAATTTTGAGGTAGAATCCTGGCTCATGAGAATGTTCGGCCAAATTATTTGCAACCTGGGATGTAAAAATAGGCAGCAAAGTCTAGACCTGTTCTATTTACTTTCTTTTTTGCTGCTGCAGAAGTTTTTTTTTTTTTTCTTTCTTTCTTTCTTCTCTTCCCCTTAAAAGAAAGTGACTGGGCTGGCGTGTTCATCAAAGCAATTTAGTGAGAATGCACTCTGACAGACTGCATTAACGATGTTGACTTGTGAAAACAAAGCGTGGTTTTATAATACACATAAATTATATGCTTTTAAAAAACGGAAGGTTCAGAATTCTTTAATGATACTCAAGCAGAGCAAAATGGAGTTTTGCCTATTTTTCGTTTTAGCACTTCAAAAGATTTTTTTGGGGGGGTTCCACGGCTGACAAAACTCAAACAAAAAAGATAGCACAGCACATTATAGTTCCCTAGTTGCATTTATTAAAATTAAAGTGAACACATATTTATTAAGTAACAACTGTGAGCCCAAGACTGTGCTGCATACTATTAGGGATATAAGGATGGACTGCACTACGTCAGAAGACATTTAGGGGAAAGTATGTCCTCCCATGAGTAGTCTACGTGATGCAATGAAAAATGTGAACTATATGACTTGGAAAAGTTTTTTTTTTAAAGATTTTATTTATTTATTTGAGGGAGGGGGAGTACAAAGGGGGAGAAGCAGATGCCCCGCTAAGCAGGGAGCCGATGCAGGTCTTGATCCCAGGGCCCCAGAATCATGACCTGGGCCAAAGGCAGACAGACGTTTAACCAACTGAGGCTCCCCTGACTTGGAAAAGAACTGCGTGATCTTGGAGAAGCACTTGGTTATATTTGGTTGAGGGTTCATAAGATAGCTTATTTAAAACCACGTGATGACCTACACATTTCCTCAGGAACAGATACAAAAGAAGCAAATATGGAGAGAGATTCCGTAAGCAAAACCAGCATGAACCAAGGGCACATCCAAGCCGTGTTGTGGTGGACATTCTGATTTTGTGTCTAAAGCACATATAGAGGAAGCAGCAGAGACAAAGCTGGATAAAAAGGGCAGTGACAATTAAAAATACTAGAATGCTATGAAGATTTGGTAAGAAAATGTTACGATCACAGCTCTGCTTCAGAGTAACTAGTCCTGAAATGGTGTGTGGTTGGACTGGTGTGAGATATGAGAAGATCCACCAGGGTTCAGGTTAAAGAGTTCTTTCATGATTTACAAGAACCTGAAAATGATACAAACAACAACGAACTTGAAACTCACACGTCAGGAAACAAATAAATATATAAATAGGTACAACTTACAGCAACATCAAAGATACCAAATGCCAAGAAATAAATCTAATTATTGAAAACTTTTACATAGGAAACAACAAAAAAAGTGCTGAGAGAATTTAAAGAAGACCTAAGTAGAGAAAGGGATCATGTTTATAGATTGGAGGACTCGATTATTTTTAAGGTACCCATTCTCCCCAGCTTGATTTATAGGCTCAGTGTAATCCCGATCCGTATTTCACCAGGTTTTCTGTGGCAATTGAGAAGTGGAGTTCTAACATTTATATGGAAAGCCGAGGGCCTGGATTAGCCAAGGTTCTCCTGAAGATCCAATGTCAAGGGTTTAAGTTACCAGATATGAAGACATACAATGAAGCTACAGTAATCAAGACAGTAGCACATTTGTAAAACACATAAAACAAGAAAAAAGTAGCACAAGAGTAGACAAAAAGATCCATGAATAACAGTGTAGAATCTGTAGGATGACCCATTTACACAGTCAGCTTACTTACGAGAAGGCACCGCATCAATTTGCTGTGTGAAAGGACTCTAATTAAGTCATTTTGGTTCCACTGGATATCGATATTTTAAAAAAAGGAATCAGTACCTTTACATCAAATAAGTTGATATAAAATAGATCAAAGACCATCTGTAAAATGCAAATAGTGCAACGTATAGCAAAAACCAGGAGAGTATGTTTATGAACTTGTGGT